AAGTATTACAGCAGGCCGAGGGGGTGGCAGGCTTATAGATGTTTCAGGGTGAGGGAGGGGGGAGAGAGAGAAAAAAGAGAGATGCTGATAGGGCATGTGTGTCCGCTACATCCGTGAAGAGTTGATCGGTACAAAATTTTACCCGAAGAATCTCTGATGACCAAAAATGTGTTCTCTGTTTCCAGGAAGCTGAGCAAAACCATGCGACAGAGCTGGAAAAGGCAGACCAGGAGAAGGCCGAGATCTCTCGGAAACTGGAAGAGATGATACAGCAGGAAACTTCCTTGTCTGCTAAGGTGATTAACGTTTCTGTGCCGTTGTGGTTATGTAGGGGAGTGTTGTTTAAAATGAACGCAGTTGAAATTATCCAAGATTGCCACCCATTCTCGAGGAGAAAAAGAGTTGTCTTAGACATGTGGATGTCTTGGTCGGGGTCCTGTTCAAGTGGGGAAGTGGTCGTGTTTATAGGTACCTGTCTTGGACAGGTGGTCGTAAGAGTAGATTGGACTATTTTAGAGAACATAGGCACCTGGTTTGAAATGCCTGTGTGTTGGTTGACTTTGTGTAGTAGGCTTACAAGGCGTGGCTTCTCATACTTCAGGTTTCAGTTGTAGCTTGTCAGTCTGATCTTCAGCTGCTGAGCAGTAGACAGGTTTTGCAATAATCTTTAAATCCAAGTCAGTTTGGGGAGGGGGTTACTGGTTGGTTTGGTTTGGGGTGTTCCTACACTGTCAATTGTAAATTCCCCCCACCCCTCCCCACCATAATGTGTTGTTCACTCTACTGCTTTGTTCTCCACAGATCGAGTCTCTACAAGCAGACAATGACTTCACCAAGGAGCAGCTGGCAGCCATGAAAGGTACGGCCATTTTTGTGATACTTTTTTAGTCTCTGCAGAGTGACATATGACAGTCTTACACTGAGCAGTCAATATAGACACACACATACACTCACTCGCACATACACACACACACACACACACACACACGCATACACATACGCTGTGTTCTGCCTGTTTTAAAGTAGCTGCTAATTAACTAGACATTTGCTGCTCTTTGGATTGGAGATGGTTACAAAAATGATTTTGGAAACAAATGATAATTATAGTAAGTAACAATGGCATTCACACAGCATATATCCGTGCTCTTCAACAACTCTATGAACTTTACAAGTTTTGAGATGAACTACTCCGGTTGCTTATCGTCTGTTTCTGTGACTTCCCCAGCTAAACTGGAGTCCATGAAGGAGCCTAATGAGGATGACCAGAAGCTGGCGGAGCTGGATGTCAATGGTAGGGTCATTGTCCTGATTCCTCTCCTCTGTGTGTGTGTGTGGGGGGGGGGGGGGG